CTTTCGCGTCATATTGCATATTGAAACGTCCAAATGTCATCATTACAGTGATGTTCAAGTTGGTTTCGAAGGCAGTTTCGGAGATCGTCATGTGAACCCTCGGTCACTGAAATCGACATTCCTGGGCAATCTGGTTTGCTGCGAAGGAATTGTGACTAAATGTAGCCTGTTTTTGCTACTAGTTCAACGAATTGGAAGAAAATCGTGTTTTATTCAGGTTCCACGGTGCGTCCCAAAGTTGTGAAGAGCGTCCATTATTGTCCGGCTACAAAGAAGACTTTGGAAAAACGATACACCGATTTAACTTCTTATGACTCCTTCCCAAGCAGTAATGTTTACCCAACTGAGGTGAGTTTTGCATGGTTGTCTTAGGATTTTTCTTCCATTCACTTTATCCATTTTTCAGGACGAAAATAAGAATCCCCTTAGAGACTGAGTTTGGATTGAGCACGTACAAGGATCACCAGTCTTTTTCCGTCCAGGTACTTACTGGTCATCTTTTCAACGTTACTTTCTGTCTCATTACTCATGGGTAGATGCAATTCCAGTACCTTGAGCTTCTAAGAGTAATACTGAGAATTTCCTAGAATATATAAACTTTCAAACAAAATCTGTAAACGGTGCAGTTCGGGAGGGGCATTTTGCACATTCGCTGGTCCCCATTGTCGTTCGAGCCATAGGTTAGAGACTTGTGCAATCTTATGAAGCCATGAAGGTAACACTAGCCACAATTTGTAGGAACTACTTGTCAATTCTTATGAAATAATGAACAGGACAGTGGGAAGCAGCGAAAGAGCAAAAGTGCCCCCCCCCCCCCCGCCTCCTTAGCCAAGCTACCACATGAACTCTTAAAGTGGCAACTTACGGCTTGATTTGGTCTGTTTTAAGCAACGGTTTTTCTTTCCGTAGGAATTGCCGGAATGCGCACCTGCCGGCCAGCTCCCTCGCTCAGTGGACGTAATTGCGGACAACGACCTCGCAGATTTGGTCAACCCTGGCGATCGTGTTCGTGTTATCGGTCTGTATCGTGTACTTCCCAACAAGCAGAATGGATTCTCCAACGGCTCTTTTAGGTATCTATTAAACCTTATGCCCTTTTCCATAGATTCAAAAATTCTTATGAAAAATTTTTAGGTCCATTGTTATCTCTAACAATATTCAATTACTTTCCAAGGAAACGTCCTTGGACTTTGACCCAGAAGATGTCAGAAATATCCGTAAGCTGAGCAAGAAGAAGGACGTGAGGATCTCATTTTGAGTGAACCATAAGGATGAGTCACCATTGGCGCATTTCTAGGTGTTGAACTGATGCTCATTCTCTGGCCCCATCGATTTGTGGTCACGATGAGGTAAAAAAGGCAATTTTGTGCCTTCTGCTTGGAGGATGCGAAAAGATTCTGGACAATGGAAGTCGACTTAGAGGAGACATCAATGTTTTGTTGATCGGGGACCCTTCCGTCGCGAAGTCTCAGCTGCTCAGGTTTCGTTCCTTGTTCCCCATCGCTTGCCTCTCCGGACATTTTCTGAATCTTTCAGGTACGTGCTTCAAACAGTCCGTGATTTGCTACGACCGGACGAGGATCTTCTGGAGTAGGTCTAACTGCTGCTGTCACAACAGACTCAGACACGGGAGAACGAAGATTGGAAGCAGGAGCCATGGTGTTGGCTGACAGAGGGGTTGTCTGCATCGACGAGTTTGATAAGGTAGGGGAAAACCTTCTAAGATCTTTATGTTCTCGAAGATGCCGTAAGAGCTTTATTCTCTGACCAGATCTTTTCGATAAGGATTGTTTCGGGCGATTTTTTCGGATAAAGTAAGCATGTCGATGACCCTTAGCGATTTTTGATTTTAATTCTTCGTGAGTACAGAAGCATGCCTACATTCAATACCCTCGATATTTTTGATAGTTACCTCAGTGTGACCTTCATAAGGTACCTGTATTTCAGTGAGCGGACGGGATCGGACGGCTTAATTGCATGAAGTATGGAGCAGGACGTGTTACCATTGCAAAAGCTGGAATTCATGCAAAACTGAATGCCCGGTGCTCTGTTCTGGCTGCAGCGAATCCTGTTTATGGAAGGTTTGTCTCTGTTCTTTGCTGATTTCTTCTCAGTTATCAGCGCCACAAATCCCTACCTAAACTTGGCGTATTCTTCTCTAACTCAACAGCTCACGCTTGTTTTCCAAAAGGGTCCCACCTGCTTGACTCAAGAATTATCTTGAACATAAACCCCGCGATTGTATTGATTGTGAGTTGTGGCGTTCAGTAACAAATATAGTCGCCAAGTGACTCTCCAGAGGAGGAAAGAGCAAAATATCATCGAGTACACCATAGACACCCTTAGCAGCCTCACTATACGAGTCGTTCAGACCTGCTCGTTTTATGCCAGCAAAGCGATATCCTGCGTCTCCCGGCTCAATAATCATTTCTCCGCGTCATCCATTGCTAATACCATCTACAAGCGAAAAAAAATGTAGAAAATGAGCTTGCGACAGAACTCGTGGCGCATCCTTTGAGCTTTGGTGGGCGGAAAACTGGAAGAGAGAACTGATGCTTGTGAAGGCTGCAGTGCCTTCTTTCCTCACTGTGAAGCCGCGAAATCGGGAGAATCTTAGAGTCTGCGGGCCAGACTACTCGTACAAGGAAGGAGCATACGAATTGGTTGAGAACGGGGTCTGTCTTTAAGCGAGGTCGTCCAGCTATCAGGTACTAATACACTGTGTTCCTTGTTCCTATGTCCTGCATTAAGTGCTGATCGATGCCTAGTCTAACTTTCGAACTGTTCATGAGCATTTCACTCCTTCTTAGAAGCAACTGCACAGTAGCGGCGCCCCGTTCGCTGAACTCCTATCAATGCGTCATTTGCGGTCGCTCATCTATGTGAACTCTGAATTTCGTTCATGAAACCAAATCTTTTCGACTTCACTTCCAGTGGTATAGTGCGAACTAGGAGCTGCCAGGAATGCTCTGCCTTAAGTATGTATCTGCTTTGGCTTACCCTTACGGAGTGCGTGGTATAGCGCTGAAGCCAAATCTTTCATTTATAGATGACGAAAAGTATTGCAAACATGTTTTGTGCTGTCCTTTTCAGGTAGCGACCCTCGCTTCAAACTCCCATGGAAACATCAACATGCAAGATTCACTTCTATCTCGCTTCGACTTGATCTTTGTACTGCTCGATGAGGTGCGCCTTCAACTTTTGGACATTGTTATCATTTTCCATGTTTTCTGAATCTCCTTTCCTGATTGAAGTGAAATGAGTTTTATCTGGAATTCTGCTTATAGCACGATCCTGACCGCGACAAGACTGTGGCCAGCCATGTCTTGAAACTTCACTGTTATCGCGCTCCTGGAGAAGAAGATGGTACAGTGCTGCCTATGGGAGTAGGTGTTGAAACAATGAGTACATTCGATATTCATGCTACGGAGAAGAGTAGCGAGATGTACGAGAAGAATTCGGATTGGGTGGATGATTCGTGAGTTGTCCTCCGTGATTTGTTGGATTTAGGTTTATTAAGTTCGATGTACTCTGTTTACTCTTAATTATTTCAGCGCAAAAGTGCTATCAGTCGAGTTCGTCAGGAAATATATCCATCTTGCTCGATCGATGAAGCCAAAACTCACCGAACAAGCTACGGAATTCATTTCAGAGGTTTACGCGGAAATCAGGTCATTCGACACATCGAAGACGGATAGAGAAAGGGTAAGCTCCTGTGAAAAAGCGTTAGTTATGAGCAAAAA